GTACAGTTTGTTCACTACTCTTCTCTAAGAACTTAGTTTTCGGCTCTGGTATACATTTCTACTTCGACATTTACCAATCCCTTGAGCTGGTATAACTAAGAACATTAAAATTTTTGGCATGTTTATTTAATCTTCTTTATTAGCCAAGGAAACCTCATATAAACACAGATGAGCTCCTCGGCCAGGGATATAGTCCGACATACCCGACCTCGTATTGTACATTTTATAAAATCTGAGATGCATGAGACCTGCTGTAGTTGACCAATAGTTGGCGCACAATACAAAATATAAATTTTCGCGTGACACTTTCTATACTATAGTATTCCCTTTTAAACAACAGATAGACTCCATGTATGTTATTCGTCGTGTACTACCATAAAAACTTTTTTAATAGAAATTAAAAAAAAAAAAAGAGTATTTAGCGAGAGTCATCTGCGCTTAACAAATAATGCTGATCCGAAAACTGGTAAGATGGACAGTATCAAAAAATTAGAATCTTCAGAAAGTGTAGGCCAAAAAGACCCAGAGTTCAATATTAATTCGGTCATACATCAGAAATGTAAAAATGAAGATTCTTCGTTCTGTTCAATAAAAGATGGTGAGTTAAAGAGAACGTTCTCTATTTGGTCTATTTTGGGTATTGGGTTTGGATTGACTAATTCTTGGTGGGGCGTATCAGCTGGACTAGTAGTAGGTATTCAATCAGGAGGACCTATGATGATTGTGTATGGTGTAATCATTATTGCCTGTGTATCAACTTGTGTTGGAATTACATTATCTGAAATGTCATCTGCAATTCCTTCTGCAGGTGGTCAGTATGTGTGGACAAGAGTGTTATCACCAAAAAAATACTCCGGCTTTCTTGCTTACTTATGTGGATCATTTGCTTGGGCTGGTGCCGAGTTCATGAGCGCCTCTATTACTCTCAGTATTGCTGAAGAAATCATGGCATTCTGGGTTTTGATGCATCCAGATTTTGAGATTCAAAAATGGCATAATTTTTTGATTTTCCAGCTTATGAACATTTTCTTATTTATTTTCAACTGTCACGGTAGGTTTTTACCAACATTTGCCAAAAGTGCAATCTATGTATCTTTATTTTCGTTCTTAGTTACCGGAATTACTGTAGTTGTATGTGCTAGAGGTCATTACCAATCGGCCAACTATGTTTTTGCCAAATTCGAAAACAATACTGGGTGGTCCAATTCTGGTATAGCTTTTATTGTGGGTTTGATAAACCCCAACTGGTCTTTTGGATGTTTAGATTGTGCTACTCATTTGGCAGAAGAGGTGTATAATCCAGCGAGAGACATTCCAATTGCAATTTTAGGTACCGTCGCAATCGGATTTGTTACTGCATTTTGTTATTGTATTGCAATGTTTTTTTCAATTCGAGACTTTAGCGATATTTTGAATTCAAGGACCGGTTATCCTCTCTTTGATATTTACTACCAGGCGTTGGGAAATACAGCCGGTACAATTTGTCTTGGAGTTTTAGTATTCATTACCGCAATTTTTTGTATGATCTCTTGTCATACATGGCAAGCAAGGTTATGTTGGTCTTTTAGTAGAGATAACGGATTTCCATTTTCCAAGTATTTATCCTTAGTTGATCCTAAGGCAGGTGTTCCCTTGAATGCTCATCTTTTTTCTTGCATATGGGTTGCAGTTTTAGGCTGCTTATATATGATTTCAGATGCTGCATTCAATTCGATGGTGACAGGTAGCATTACTTTCATGTATCTAAGTTATGCTGTACCAACTTTGTGTTTATTGTACAGAGGGCGTGATAAGATTAAACATGGACCTTTTTGGATGGGCAAAATCGGTTTTGTTTCTAATATTGTCACCTGTTTATGGACACTTTTTGCATTAATATTTTATTCATTTCCTTCTTACATGCCTGTTACTGGTGGCAGTATGAATTATGTTTCTGTTGTTATTTTTATTTATCTTCTTTGGACCTTATTTTATTGGTGGATACCTTTGAACGGATCCTCATGTAGAGACAATTTTGCAGGTGGTGAAGACAATAATGAGAAGGATGAATTTTCAGATGTTTGCTTAGAGGAATAAACCATGTAGACTGGAGAAAGTAGAAGCTACCATGGGAAAAATAAAAAAATAAAAAATGGTAGGGACGGTGAAAAGGCACACAGTGGGTCAATAAATTTGTTCTAGATGATAACTAGAAACCATTCAAAGTAGATAAAGACTTAACGAAATTGTTTGATGCAAAATTACAAGTGTATTAAAAATCAATTATTTATTTTTGATTTGTTTGAATTTTAGTATGCTCACGGGGGAAAAAAATGGAAAGAAGAGAGCTCTTTCGTGGAATATTGTTGATCTAAGACAAACAGTTTCAATAAAAATCATCACTAATATATAATTACATTATTAATTTCTGAGATTGAATATCCAAGTATAGTAACTAATCAAGCAGGAGACTGATTATCTTACAATCGTTTTAAATGGATAGCAAGAATAAGGATATGTGAGTCATGTTTCATTAAGGAAGTAAAATGCATTATTAGAAGTTTAAAATACATAGAAACTACAATTCTAAAAATATATGCTCTGTAGTTATAATGACATCGTTATCTGTCTACTGTTTTATATACTTAATCAATCTTTAGTTAAAGGAATTGAATAAACAGTAAAATACGAGTTCTGTTTATTGACAACACCTGCAAATGCATTATAGAACGCAAGTAGGCCTGTGATAACCCCTACGATACCTGCAGCCCTCGTAACATTGACATTTTGAGTAAAACTACCAGCACACAATAAGCAATAAGTAAGTGTGACGAGCCAAAGCAACAGACAGAAGGCAAGAGTAGATTTCAAAGTAAGCATTGACAATATGGCTGTATATATGGCCCATGATAAGAGGAGTAATCCCATAGCATTATTGAATTCTGTCTCATCCTTGTAAGCAGCGGTAATACCAAAGGCTTCTACGTTAATAGCAGCATATGATATCCAAAAGGCCCCATAGGAGGTCAAGGCCGTAGCACCAAATGTGTTTCCAATAACCATTTCCCAACATCCAGCTAAAAATTGTATAAGTCCTCCATAAAAAGCTGCTATACCGATAAGTGCGTTGGGATGATTAACACCCATTGCCTGTGCATTGTACATACCCAGAAGAAAAGTGACCATTGCAAACCCAGCCAAACCTATTGGTGCTGGGTTACCAAACTTGTTCACCTGTGGTAAAGCCAACCCAGGATTAAGTGTACCACCAAATGCATGCATTAATTCGTGTTTATAGTACATCTTCCCTCCTATGATAATAAATTCTTTGCCCTTCCCTGCTTCCTGAATATTTGAAACAGGTTTATCATGGTTTGGAATCGATTCATTTGGATCGCAAATAGAAGAATCAGCCATAATTATATATCAGTCAATTATAGCTTGCTTGTATTAGTATAAGATTATGATAGCTGGAAATCAATAAAGTCAAGGAATAATATAATTTATATGAAAAACTGAAAATTTCAATGTAAGAACAGATAAAGTTATTCTATGTCAAAAATATTCTTTCAGTAGTGTACTTTTTGACATATACCCCACAGCAATGTCCCCACCCAAGATAGTTTTTTCTCGCGCTTCTATTATAAAACTTGCATTTTCTTCACGCAGACCTCCACAGTTTGACATATTGTTTGTAGTCATCTCCGCACCAACGGCGTCTGTAAGAACTAAGTCTCATAGAAAAGTTTAGCAAATTGGTTGATGCGCGTTAGTTAAGTTCAAAATTATAAAAAAGTACTGGCATGTTCAACAAAATATGGTATCTAATTTGGATATATTTTGTATGATGAGAAAGTGCTAAGGGATGTTGAGAGGTGTAAGCACAACAAATCGAAATTAAATATGATTTTTCCACCACAAGGATACATTGGTTATTTTTGAGACACAAAGTTTTGGCAGTACCATAATTTGTTTTCACAAGGCTCATCTAGTTTGATTCCCTTGTTGGATTCTGACTTCATCTAAGGCTTCTAGAGATTTTGAAATTTTCAAGAATATAAATAACAAGAAATAATAATTCGACTTACCGATTTCATGCCTATAAAAAATATTTCTAGAGCACTTCGAGCATTAGCGATTTTGATGGTTCTATTATTTGAGAATTTAAAGCGGTAAATTTTAGTTCTCTGACGTTGAATCGAGTTTATTAGAGCATTCATCAAGAGAGAACAAAGCAAAGTTAAGATATATAAAAAATATTTAGGCATCTTGTTTTCCAGATAAACTTGAGGACTAAATTATGCGTAGATGATCTCGAGTAAAGTTTAATGATGCACTATAAATCCTATATAATGGGCTATATAATGAAATCTCACAAATTTTGATCTTTATTTAATGATTTCAAACCAATAACATGAACAATAACAGTGACAAATCCACCAAGAACTAAAACAAGGCCTGCCATTAAGCCAGATGCTCCAGCTAAATTTAGCTTTGTGAACATTTCCGAAAAATAAAATGGACCAATAAAACCAAAAGACATTCTGACAAGATTTAAATACAAACCTGTGTCTGCCGCCTTCAAAGGGTTTGTATCAATGGCATATACTATCAATATAGTGGTCACTATATTCATCCCAGCGGCAGCAATTGCAGCTCCAATTAATGGGGAAATTATCCAATGTCCTTGTTCGGCATTAAATAAATTAACACCCCAAACAATCAATCCAACAATAATACACATATACCCGTAGTAAGAAATCCATAATCGATCTACAATAACTCTCTGGCCTCCTCTTTTACGGACACAGAATCTCATCCAATAATCAGAAAGCGGACCAGAAAGAAGTTCGCCGAAGATGGATCCAACGATCAAAGCTATATATTGCAAACTTAGTTGCTGGGCATCAAGAAAGAATAATGAACCAAAAATTTGAGGTGTCTCTACTATGAGAACTATATTGGCGTAACTGAAGGTCACAGTTGCAGCAATAGTTACCAACGTGATTCTATAGTCTAATGCTTGTTTTAAAGGTCTCCAAAAGAGACACAATTCAAACTCTTTGCTAGTTGCTTTAATAAACCCTAACCACTTGATTGATTTACTAGATTTAGGATCAGTTGAAAGATTCTCCCTATCAAAGACTGTTTCATTTGAAAATAAGTAGCAGATGAACTGTAAGAAATTCACTATTGCAAAGGTGAAATAAATCCATTTTGTACTAGCATGCTTTTGAACAAATCCCATAAAAAAAGGACCCCCTGGAGTACCAAGAACATACCCCACAGACCACCAACCATTTTTTTTACCTCTCTCGTGACTAAAAGAAACGTCAGCTACAATGCTTGATCCTGTAGCTGCACCTGTTGATATCATGACTGCAACCAATACCCTAGTAGCCATTTGCAGCGAATATGTCTTACAAAAGCCTCCGCCAATATTTAATGCACAACATACCAAAGTCGATAGTGCTAAGAAGGGCCTTCTTCCATATATGTTCATCAATGGAACAAATACAAGAGGGAAAATACCAACAACTAAAATTTGAACAGATGTCAAGAAAGAAATTTCTGTCATTGTTTTTCCATACTCTTCTGACATGGCTTCATAAGCAGGTGCAATTCCAGCAGCCATGAATGTAACCATAAAGGAATGAAACGATATTAAAAATATCTCATAATTTTTTTTAAAAAGAGACCAATTTAGGGGATCCAGAGGATTATTTGAAGGGGTAGGATCCAATTGTACAGATCCATGCCTATTTAGAAGAAACTCAAGGTGCTCTGTAGTAAGTTCAGATATCGTGTTTGTCTGATTTAAATCTGACTGCTCATTATACGAATAAGTAAATTTTTCGATGTCACCAGTTTCATTTATAGGTTTGTCATAGCTTGTGCCAGGCTTTGAATTTTGGAAAAGCATTTTGTAATACGAGTATAATTTGAACTATATTTGAGATACACATCAAGTTTTATAGACGCTAGCTATATTTTAAAAATGAATTCACATAACCTTGCTTGTGCTTATTAGACCTGATATACGAATCCGTATTGTGGGGATATGTTTAGCTCAAATGAATATTTTATAGATTATTTCGCAATATCGGAAATATAATAATGAAGCCATGAAGCTAGATATGGGGATAAACTTCTCCTACCTTAGAAAACACTGCAAATGAGGTCGAAATAGTCAAGGTTCATATTTCCGCAAATACCACAAACCTGGAGATTACTTTTTAAATCCGTTAAAGTACCAACTTTAATATGGATATAAGAATACCTGTATATAATTATGGGTAGCGATTACTTAACTGATAAATCTTACAAGCCTAAGAAAATAAGGTCTTATTAAAAAAGAGAAACTGTTCAGACTTAGTAAATATATAATCACAATAATAGAGATAAGCATGCGACTATTCATAGAGTCTAGGGGCGAGAAAATGCTGTAAAAACGTATATATCTAAGATCCCAATAGCAATGAATGGTGCGAATTATGTTATTGATACATTTATACTTCAACTTTAATCGAATTATTCAGTTTTAAGAAAATTCCTACTTGTGCAAAAAAACTACTGAGTATAGAATTTCGGATTTTTGTGTAGTATATTTACATATATTTCTTTAAACAATAAGATCAAGACATAGATACTTCCATGTATTGTAGTCTAAAATTTTATAGGTTTCATATATATTTTGTTGAGTGGGTTAACCAAAATACGGTAGATTCTGTAAAGTCTGGTGTGATGTATAATAGTAATTCCTCATTTTCAACATTTTTAAATTCTAAATTTAGTAATTTGCGACAAGATCTGATCTAAGTTTATCTTCCAATAAACGTTTATAATTATTTGAGTTATTAATTTGGTAAAACCGCCAGTTCTGGTATCATAACCCCCAAGTGGCTGAAAATAATATTATCAAATTCGATCTCTTCTCCTAAGCTTTTCAAGTGTGTTCCGTTAAACTATACAATTGTGCATCCTTAAATAATATTAATATTATTTGTCTTGAAGATACCCCAATATTCATTAATATTCCTCTTTATCTCTTAGGGTATATAATTCTTTGTTGAACTTAAACCAAAACTAAATTCGAAATTTGACAGTTAAGTTGTCTTCAAGTACTCAAAAATTTCACGATAACTTTTCTTCTACTTTCCTGCCTCCATATTTCGGAAACCAAATCTCATAGGGATAGCAGAATTCGGAATACGGTAAGAAGTTAACAGTTCATTAACATCACCATCAAATTCTAGGATAACGTGTACACCCGAAGTGCCAGTTCCAATAATTACACCCTTTTTATGCTTAATATTCGTATGATCCTAACAAATCTGCAATACGGAATGAAATTCATTTGAATGAATCTCTGTTATCAATATTTGGATACTTTCTTTTTAATATAAAACCAAAGAAACTAATTTTCGATACCAAAGCGAGTTTGCAACACATTAGATTTCGAAAACATTCTTAGTAGCATGATTTCGTTTAACAAAAAAAAGTGAAATAATCTTGAAAATCCCTATACCCAGGGATTTTTTCAAACCAAATGCTCCGCCAAAATTGATACGTAAGGGTCGCATCATAATATTGAATTTTCATATTGGCTTAATACTTTTTTTCTTGATAAATAAAAACTACATTACTTTAATTAGGCGAGTATATCAGCGGAATATATTGCAATGTATGTAGAGTTGTCTAGGGATCTATGGCAGAATGGAACTTGGAATTAGGACAAATCGGAAATATAATGGGATTATACATAACGCGAGCGTTACAAGGAAAAATGGAACACTACTGACCGGAATTATGAAAAATTTAGCATAATCCTATATTGCTTAATTCGGCATGTGGAGTAATTTATTTAATAATCTTATTTCCGTAAATCGTCATTTGGAATACGGAGAAAAGACAAGACATTATAATTTTTGTAGATATTTAGAGATATGACATTGAATTTAAAGAGTGTTCCAGCTGACCTAATGTGTGCATGTGTGCGATCTCCATATGATTTTGAAGTAATCTCTCTGGAAAGGGAGTCATTATTCTCGTGACCCAATTAGCTTGAATTAATTATTATCTTATTATTAAGAAGAGTACTGATGCTAAATTTATACAAGTGATATTTAATGAATGAGGAAGGCTTTATAGACACATAGTCTGACTTGCATGATTTATCCCAAACTATCAATATTATGTTATCGTTAGATGATTAATCTGATATTATTATGATTTCCCTAGATTAGAAGCTTCGGATTTTTTATAGAAATGTATTTTAAGAACCCCCAAATAATACCGTTTCGTCTTCTCCTAACGACCGGTGTATTTCTTTTCGAAAGGTCTAACCAAGTTGAAGCCAACGAATGCAAAGGCGAAGCCCAATTCAAATCCTATATCACCCCCAAACTCACCAATCTTGCGAGCAAGTACACCAGAATACCATACTTGATTTATACCTAAAACAACACCCGCTACACCACAACAAAACCCAAATATTCCTGCAATACCAATAGGATATGACAACTTGCTATCGAAATTTTCGTAATCGTAACTAGCGAAGTTACCTCTTCTATGAATAAAATGCTCAGAAAAACTCATGGCTTGGTAGATTGCTAAGTAATATCCAATCATATTCATGAAATTATCCATAACTTCTTCAAATTTATAGTACGCTGGTATGCAGACTGCCAAGGTAGCGAAATTTCCTAAAAGTGTCCATACTAATCTTGGAACTTTGGCCATTGGTGACCATGCTGCTTGTGCTGATAAACCAAGAGAGTACATATTTGGAATATTATTAGCAATAAGTGACAAAGCTAAAAGAACACATAAAAATTCTCCGAAACCGTGTAAGGAGTCTTCCACTAAAATAGCATAAACTAAACCTCCAACAGACTTTTCAGCATAAAGCTCTGCCCAACGCAGGTTTGTAAGAGTACCAGTAGCACATGCGGCACCCAATATCAAGGTAAATACCAAAGTTGTATACAACATAGCAAAGATACCAAAAAAGATTTTGGTCGAACTAACATTTCTGGGCTGATACACAGTATAGTCTGAAGCGTAAGTGGTCCAACCAGTAGCAAAACCGAAAACTGCACCACCAAAACTTAAAACGTTACCTGCTGTAGTTTGACCTCCAACCATTTCTCCAAAAGTGAAGTTGCCAGACATAGCCATTCTTGCAATTATTGCAATAAAAGCAACTGCGTTGGGTACCCATGACCATGTTTCATACATATGAATAACATGATATCCAAAGAAGGAAACGATGATAGTACAAATGACCAAAATCAAACATCCGGCCCATGGTGGAAGAGCTCCATTGTTTACGATGTGTAATAATTGCGCAGCACTCATAATATTAACAGCACCCCATCCAACACATGCGATAACATTTATGAAAGCAAAAATTCTCATACAATAGTCACCAACCAAAAATTTGGATAGTATAATTTGTCTAAGACCTAATTTAGCTCCAAATATAGAAAAATAAGCAATTGGAAAGACACCAATAAAGGAAAACCCTAAAATAGTCAATACACATTGCCAGAAACTGAGACCGAAGACAGTGACTCCAAGTGCTCCCAAGGCGAATGTTGCGATGACCAAATCTGCTGAGAGCCACATAGTGACCGCATTCCAAATAGAATCATTACCCTTTTCTTCATCCGTAACTATTTCAATCCCTTTTGTTTCTGCATTCAACAGCGATGCCATAATATCAAACCACGAACTTTTTTTGGTAGTAGCTTCTGTCCGAATAGGTTCTATTTGCCTCAGTTCATCTTCCAAAGAGTGCAGAAAGCTATCTAACGAACTCTCCTTTTTGGTTTCACCAACGTTGTCAATATTTTTTTCAAGATCTGAATGTGTCATCTCTTATTGTATTTATAGATATTATATTCTATAATTATCCATATGATTCTTATAGAATGGATTGTTTTTTACCGGATAATAGAGGAATTATCGATGCCATTTAAACGAAAAAAATTTTTGTTATCACTCGATTAGAGTAGTCGTGTAAATCATAATTATCTATCTAAAAGTGAAAAAAATTCTGATCGATGCGGCATTCTCCGTCTTAATGGAAGGGCCTTGCGAAAAATAATAGCCAATCGTTGCAACTTATGCGTATTTCATAGATAAGAAATAAAATTTACATCTCAGAAGTGCTGTTATCAGTTATTAATCTTTGTTTACCCCAATTTAATTCCTATTGATAACATGCATTAGTGTAAATATGTTGTATCGATTAAGTACATATTCTAACAATGCACAGAAGAAGGTTATCTCCGAAAGGTAATATATACGATTAAATTTAATCATAATCTGTTTCATATAAGCCAAAAAATCGAATCGAATCAGCTTCTACGAAGATACGATAGTTTATCATAAACGAATTTTTTATAATCGTTAACTTACGATAGTAAATAAGAAAAATTGTAAATATAATTTTTGTTAAGTACTGAATATCACATGGCGACCTGAAGGGGCAAGGTAGAATAAGGTGAAATGAAATCGGGATTCATACAATATATTTTTTTGCCTCAGATTACTTTTCTGTCAATTCATTAGTTAATTGACACCTGAATATCCAAAAACGTAATTATGTGCTAATTCTGAGGTATATTATTGAGCATTCCTTTCGCATTAACTTTACAATAGCGTTTATTTTATATATGACTGTGAGAATTGATCTCAATATGAAGTGTCTTTTAATGCAATACGCGTGGTAATAAGGATGATATAAATGAGATTAATGTTTCGTCAGTTCGTTTAGTGACAATACAGTTTTATACCACACTAATGTATGTGGTTTCAGTGCCAATGCCACATTTTATATCTTTGTTCTCAGAGAATTTTTTTTTCCCAGTTTTGTCAGTTGAATGACTAAAGGTATCTATTCTTCTTTCCACAGGTTCTTGAACACGAATATTAGTTTTCATCATTAGATGAGGTCCAAAAATAAACTTAACCCGGTTACTTTACAACTGCATATTAACACTTCTTCGCATTAAGATGGCGGCATTATTGTTCAATATGTAATAATTGGAACACAGTAAATCATTTGCGACAGTGGCATCGATGCATCCACAGTTATATTCAGCTATATAAATAGAGAAGTGTAACCGAAAATAAAAATCAAGACCTGACATCTATCATGACTAATCTTAATATACAATCCATTGCTATAATTGGTGCTGGACCAGGTGGTCTTGCTTCATTATATGAATTTTTACACACCAACAAAGATGGCTCTTCGACAGTTGGCGGTCCGAAATCGATAGACCCCAAATTTACCAATATTGTTGCCTTTGAACAAAAAGATAAAGTGGGGGGAATCTGGGCTACTTCAGGCAAAGATTCTGATCTCCCAATTCCACCACAAAATTTACTTGATACTGAATCGTATGCCAATCCAGATATTATCCATCCAAGTCAACCAATTCCAGATAATCTACAAAACACATCTGTTGATAAACCGGTAGTTAAAAAGTTGGATCCAATCGCCAGAGAACTCGAATGGAACAAAAGTGGAGTATTCCCTGGTTTATTTACAAATATTCCTTCAAGATTCACAAGGTTTTCCTACTTGCCTAACGAAGTGAAATATCTAGATAAATCCAGGACTATTTATCCTTTCCTATCTCATGAGGAGCTTTCGAAGAGATTTAGTGACTTCGTGGATAAGGAAGACTTAGATAAGTATGTTCGAAAAAATTCTAGGGTCGAAGGTCTTTTCAAAAATAATAAAGACAAATGGGTTGTTACTGTAAGACATACATCAGCTGAATATGAAGAGTGGTATGAGGAAGAATATGATGCAGTTGTAATAGCAAATGGCCATTATACAGTTCCCAATATCCCCCATATTGAGGGATTAGCTAAGTTTAATGAATTACATCCAAATACATTAATACACTCCAAGTCTTTCAGAGACGCGCAAAAATTTAAAGATAAGAAGGTTCTAATAGTTGGTGGAAGCTTCAGCAGTATAAATGTATTGCAGTATGTTGTACCTTTAGCCAAACAAACTTTTATATCTAAGCGCGGCCCTCATCTTGTTTTCCCTTGGATAGATAAAGCAGTAGATTCGGAAGGAATCTTTAAAAAACCTGTCATTGAAAAATTTTTACCGGAATCTAATGAAGTATTATTTTCCGATGGTTCAAAAGAAAAGGATTTTGATATTATCTTACTAGCCACAGGATATCATTATCATTATCCATTTCTTAATAAGTATTTAAAGGTCATTGAACCTTCAAATTTGAGTCGAGTCAGTGGGCTTTACTATGACACATTTGCTATTGAAGATCCAACTTTAGCTACCGTGGGGGTTGCAATTTCTACAATAAATTTCCACACTATTGAAGCAAGTGCTGCAGCTATTGCTGGTGTTTGGTCCAATTCTAAAACTTTACCAACTAAGGAAGAACAACATGCATGGGAGAAGGAACATATTGAAACCACTGCTGATAATCTATTTTTTCATTATTATACACATGATACAGTCAAAGACAATTTTATCGATAAGCTTCATGATTATGCACCTAGTGGTAGGAAGAACCCATTTGAAGAAGATTCTCAATTTCTCAATGAAATAAACGAAGGCATAAATTCTTTGGAAAACTTATTTTACAAACTCAAAAATAAGACACTAAATCTAGAGGATACTTTGGTTTCTGCATGATTTTATAGCTAACTTATTTGGTTTAATGGATATTTTATGAAGTTGCGAGTCTACCCTTTTCATCTAATACTTTTTGTGATCTGTGGCATGAAACTGAATAATATCGAACAAAAACGAAGTTTCTTTTCTAATGATGTCTTTTTATTCTATTCAAGCATTATACAAGCTATTTTATTAATGATTTTATCTATTACATCTGTAATTCCGTAGGAAGAAATCTTTGAAGAATGCCTACACAACAAATATTGATTGGCTTTCAACATTTTCTAATACATGTAACAAAATATTTACTTATATAAATTGCGTTCGCCCCACTTAAAAATGAAAACCAAATATGAAACTATTATTGGTGCTTGAATTCAAAACTTGATTTCCGTCACAAATTTTGATAGTGCAACATTCCTTTCGTGCACTTTGCAAGAATAAATGGCTTTGGCGATCTAATTTAACTTCCTGAGTGTGCTCAATCTTTTTTCAAGAAGACGCTGATAGCACAATATCCATATTAGGATCCAAGATAGCTCTATGTAATGTCAAATTGGGATAGTCCAGTTGCTGAAAGTATTGCTGAAAATTGTAAGGGTGGTAACGTTTTTTTACTCCAACTAGTTTAGCTACTTCAACTTGTTCCAGTACAAGCTCATACTGGTATATTTCTGTCAGTGATATAACCGACTTACAATATTCTACTGAAGATGAGGCCACAGCTACCTCTCTCAAAAGATTAAATAGGTTGGTTTTTAGAAAAATTAAAATTTTTGAGCATATATTAAATTTTACATAATTCTCAACTCGTTATGGATCTAAAGTAGCATCTAGAGAGACTCAAACTTCAATAACCTTAAAACTTTTCTTCGCTTCCTCGATAGAGAAATTTTTCTCTGCTTGATGCCATCTTTCATGAAGCCTTCCATATAATAAAACTAAATTTGGTTCGTCACCTTTTACATCATTAACATCTTTTTTGCCAAATAATCTACCTTTTTCATCATCCCATTGAGAAAATGTAATCTTCTCCCATACCTTTGGCTTCACATACCCTAGCCTTTTTAGTTTCGCGGAATTTAATGGCTCAGGATCCAAGATTGCAGTATATTTTGGATTACAGAAATAAATGAGGACCAATCTTCGAAACTTTTTCTGGTCGTCAGGAGGGGATACTACTCTATGGATTGAGGATTTGAAATATCCCCCGGTAATAAATTCCATAGCATCCCCAATATTTACTATTAATCCTCCAGGGGTGTGTCCCACGTATTTCCATTCACCTGTGAAATAATCCCTAATCTGTAACGATAAAATTGGCTGCGAAGTTATAAATGTAAAGGCTGAACCATCCGAGTGGCCTCTAAGCCAATTTTTATCCACCTTTTCCTCTTCCTTAGGGTCCATCGAATGATATAACATAAACCTCCCAAATCCGTTACCAGAGTTCTTATAGTCATTTTCAATGACCTTAAAATAATTTTTCCAGAGAAATCCTTCTGGAAGTTCCAAGATAATATCGCATAATATAGTTAATTTTCTTAAAATAGTGGAATGCAAAAACCTATAATAATTAGCAACTTCAGGTAAGTAATGTCTAACTATTTCTGGATAAGTTTTATCCTTACTGAAAAATCCTGGTTGTTGTAAATCCCTAAAATTATAGTGCTCTATTGAATCCACTACTCCATTTTTCATCAGCCAATAACCTCTCGGCTTAAAGCCAGCACCTCTTTCACCACCTAAAGACCTAGATCTGTCTTCTTCATCTGACTTTAAAGCACCTGCAAGATGCTTCTCTTTTATTTCCTGAGGCAATTCTAAAACGGATTGGGCAATTGATCTTAGGCGATCAAAGGTTTCTAGATCAATTCCATGATTGATCAACGAAAAAAAACCATACGTTGATAATGAATTTTCCAACTTGGCCGCTAGTTCTTGCCTTTGAGACAAAAACTCTGGGCCCTCTTGAAACAAAGATAAATCTATGGCATCTAGTTCTATTGGTTTAATATTTGATTTTGAAGTTTGAGCTTCAATGAAGGGTCTTAATTTATATGACATTTTTTCTGCTTTTTTGTTTTATTGCAATTAAATTGTTAAATAGCAAATAATAATAAGATAGTCTATAAATATAAGGGGTTATAATCAGACAAAATTAATTTTATTGTTTAGTCATTTGACTTTCAGTGGCTTCGTTAAGCCATCTTTATCACCACTTCTTTCAAAGAGTTGCAAATATTCGAACCACATTAAGGCAGAATCACGTGAGTTGTGATATTGACGGCAAACGGCTAAATCTGCACGTTAAGTTCAGTTGCCAATTGTTTCTTTTGACGCTTGTTTATTCAACTTATATCCATTTTTACCATATGAGCTGAAATTATCTAATACGTGTATTAAATCTGAATCGTGGCATTGATTGTCAATACTTTTATCGTTCAATTTATATCTTTAAAAATTAATATTATCCTTCTTGTATGCTCTATTAATTCGAAATGGAACCTACTCTATCTAAGGGAGCTGGTTATGGTGTAATCATTGGTCTAGGAATATTTTTCGCTATATTAATGAATTTAGTTACTTTCATTCAAAACAAATTCACTAAGGCTAATTCTAATAAAGTTGACGAGTTCACATCTGCCTCTAGGGGTTTACCATTTGGCTTGGTTTTGTGCGGTATTTTAAGTTCTTGGACTTGGAGCTTAACTTTACTACAAGCTCCAACTGAGTCTTACAATATCGGTTTTTCAGGAGGATATTGGTATGCAATTGGTGGATTGTTACAAGTTTCTGTCTTTTCTTTAATTTCGTCCAAAATCAAGAAGAATGCTAACTTAATAACTACCTTCCCGGAAATGGCTTACCTCAGATTCAAATCAACCGCCGCTCACTTATCATTTCTTTGGTGCGGATTGGTGTGTAATGCAATCGTAAGCTCTTGTATCTTGTTAGGAGGAGCTGCTGTTGTTAATGGTATTACAGGGGTAAATATGTATGCTGCCTTATTTTTGATTCCATTTGGAGTTGCTGTATATGTCTCATTTGGGGGCCTTAGAGCAACTTTCATCTCGGATGCAACTCATACTTGTGTCTTGATTGTGTTTATAATAGTTTTTGTCTTTGAGGTTTATACACATGGGGACAAGATAGGTTCACCACAGAAGATGTGGGAATTATTAGAGGCATTGCCTCCGGTAGAAGATAATTATCAAGGTTCTTATTTAACTTTTAGATCGAAACAAGGTGCAATTTTTGCGGTAATTAGTATTGTTACTGGATTTGGGCTAGTAGTTAATGATCAAGCGTACTTAAGTAGAGCTGTGGCATCTGATCCAAAAACAACATCATCTGCCTATTTTTTCGGCGCTGGAGCATGGTTCGTCATCCCTTTCGGTATTTCTGCATCTTTGGGCTTAGCGGCAAAGGCTTGTTCAAATTACTCGGATTTTCCAAACTTATCAGCAGACGATGTTTCAGCAGGGTTGGCTTCAGTTGCTTCTGCAACTTACCTTATGGGAACGACGGGATCAATAATGATGTTACTAATGGTATTTCTTTCTGTAACTTCATCATTTTCAGGTGAATTAATTGCAACATCAACTTTATTATCTTACGATATTTACAAAAGGTATATTAGACCTGATGCTTCTCCAAAAGAGGTAGTCAAAGCAGCAAAAATTGGAGTTTTTATTTGGGCGCTTTTCTCTGCTTGTTTAGCCACAATTTTCAAAGGGGGAGCTCAGATCTCCATGGGATGGCTTTTTAATTTCTTAGGCGTATCCACTGCATCTGGAGTTTTTCCTATAAGCTTGACCTTTACTTGGAAAGGACTAAATAAATGGGGAGCAATTGGAGGATCAATGGGCGGAATGATTTTAGCATTAATTGTATGGCTATCTACATGCAAAGCATATCTTGGTGAAATTAACGTAGTGAACTTATCTGATCAATGGGTTTCTTTTGCAGGAAATGTTACAGCCTTAATTATGGGTGGAGTTATTTCAATTGTTATATCATTGATCAGACCTGCAAATTTTGATTGGAATACTACTAGAAATACTTCAATCCTTCTCAGAGGACAAGAAAACAATTCTTATCGACCTCATCATGTTTTGAATAATAATCATGAAAATAATAAAATGGACGAAATTTTGAAAGAGAATGAAATACAGAATAATGAAAAAGACATAGACTCAGAATCTTCGATTAACACTGATCTTGACCTAAGAATTGATGAAAATATTGCTCATGATAGTTTGGATAAGCAATTCAAAAAGTATGCCATGTTGGTTGCAATAATTGCAGTAATTGCAACATTTATAATCCCTGTACCATTGGCAGCAACTCCATATATATTTTCACCAAAATTTTTAACTGCTTGGATTTCAGTCATCGTAGTTTGGTTATTCTATACCTTCTCGTTGACAATCCTACTCCCAATTTATGAATCTAGAAAATCTATATGGAGAATTATGAAGAAAATATTTGAAAATAGAAATATATAAGTCACAAAAAATCCCCTCTTCTATTTGAAGTTATTGAACTTATTCAAGCAGAGTCTACAAGCTATAAAATCTCTTAAAGATCTCTTAGTTTTGATAATATGTGTTCTTGTAATTTTCTAATGGAGTTTACAGTATTTAACAATGATGTGTAGCTAGTTTTTTATTTATGAAAGTAACATATACAATTTTCAATTTATCATCATTTCAATCTCGCTCTCAATCATTCCGTAATATACTTTCTTATAAGTTATGATTGAGGTGATCTATCCACTTATCACTTGGACTAAAATAATATATAAGTTAGGATTAATTTCTCTTTATGTAATCATTATATACCCCTCTTATTATTTTAGCAGCGGAGTGTCTTCCATCTATCAAAGGATAAACTCCGATTACTAGTAACGCTCCATATACCCAAATAAGTGATACTGTGATATATCCCTTGAAATATGCGCGACTCCAAATCCAATCCCTGTACAACGGCAATGGCCAAAGTACCCACATAATTAAAAGGGCAAATATAAATGCTCCATAAGCTAGTTTCAGATATGTCGATAATAATCTTCGTTTTTGTTCTTCTCCGTCGATTTTCTCATCAAACACTATATTATCACTATCGGTTTCAGCGTCTCTATTTCTTACATTTGTCGTTTGATTTTCTTTGTCAGTATTTCCCTTGTCATCATTCGACTTTTCTGAGCTACTGATCTCTATTCTATGATTAGTATTTTCATCTTCTTCCGAGACAATAAGTTCTGCTTGCCTTAACTCATTCCAGTCAAAATTATATGGTCTTATTGTCAAGCTTACAATGATACTAACTACTCCAGGTAAAAATAGAGCAGTTAAACCACCAAACATACAAGGCAATTGACCACCAAGACTTGCAACAGTAACTTCGCTGTAATAATGGTACGCTGTAGTGGTCCATACGACGAGACCACTAACAAGCCCAATAATTGGAGATATAAAAGCAGCCAATTTTGTTTGTCTGCTCCATGTGATGGTGAATACCAATGGAATCACTCCTAGATGGGGTTAGTATGTTATAAACTTCTATACTGTCTGCAATTATATTTTGTAGTAAACTTTAAATTATACGTACCAGGACAAATAATCATTGAATAAAAATATCCAAGCCATGTCATATCAACACCAACATAGTGTAACATAACCGAAAATCCTGCTGAAAATAAGCCAAAAAATATAACACCAAAATGGCTGACTCTGATCATTTGATGATTCTGAGCATCAGGATTAATGTATTTTTTATAAATATCAAAGGATAAAATACTGCTGACGGATATCATCTGTGCACTGACTGTAGATGTAACAGCTAAGTATACAACCAATAGAATAGCTCCTACACCACCATTTCCTAATAAACCCTTAACTGTATAAGGTAACACAAATCCACTACTAACTTCAGAGGCCGTCATTTTTCTAGGATAAGTTGGAAAAGTAGGAGTTCCCTCTAATACAATACTTGATAATCCTACGATTGATCCTAGACCCCAGACGTTAGCGACTATAAAAATGCCTGCAATTAGATAACCTGGCAAACTTGCTCTTGTGTTAGCACTAAAACTTTTCTGCCAAAAAGACGAATCCATTACCGTTAGTCCAAAATTTCCAATGGTTAAAATGATTCCAAAAAAAATTGCGCCCTGTGACTTTCCTGTCAAGAAAGATCCGTTGTAGTTACCTTCGATATATCTGTCTGATTCATGTTTAATAACCAAATCATAAAGTCCATCTAACCCTCCAATTTCTTTCGACGAAAGAATAGATGTATCGACATAGCATAAGATAATTAACAATATGAACGAATGAACAAAATCAGTCAAAAAAGTAGCTTTTAGTCCACCGACTGTAGTATACAATAACACTCCGAACGGTATAAGCATTGTGCTGGCAACTATGTGTAAATTGCCAGCAATTATTGAGATAGCCCCAGCAGCTCCGACTATCATTGAACAGCATGATAGCAAATTATTGGTTAATGATAAGAACATATATAGTATATGACAAGCCTTTCCATATCTTAAACCAACAATCTCTAAAGAAGTGTGACAAGCTGGAATCTTTTTCTTAGCTTCAATTCCAATCAACGCCATAAGACAGATTTGTACTGCGAGCCCAGCCGAATACCAATAGGATGCCATAATTCCATAGTTATACACCATAGTACATACCCATAATAACTCAGTTGCCCAAGTCCAACTCGAATAAACTGAACTGGATAATAAGGGAATTCCTACTGATCTATTGGCGACCATGAAGACTTCTGTTGATTTTGCATCCTCATGAAGATATTTTTCTAACAATTTTGTAGTTAAAATCATACCAATTGCAAATAAGGCACCAACCCCAACAAGTATTCCATATCCACTAGATTGGTTCAAAAGCTGTATTGCCTCTGATCCTGACATTTTTTCTATATGTAATCAACTAATACTATTTGATACTACATTTCTCTCTTCATGTGGCATAGCGATACTTATATATCCAGTAGATTTGAAAAATTTCATAACCGGACAACGTGAAAAATATTTCAATCCGTTCTACCTTCGAATATAGAACAATAAATTATTACAATTTAGCCACATATATCTCAAGTGTGGATTGCATCAATTTGAAAAAAAATAATTGCGACATCTTCACCAATTTAGAAATTACTGAGGCTCAACCACTGGTGATCGAACAAACGTAAAAACATCATAAATAAGATTTCAGCGAACATGTGTATAATGCACTTCGCCAAAAAATTATCACATCTTCTCTATTTAATAAGCATGACTTTATAAATCAATGATCGCATATTAATGTTGATGATCCAATTTATTCAATATCTTAATTATGCTAACATAATCCTTAAACCTATAGAATGAAGCATGTTTTATGTTTTTTCATCAAATAACCATTATATCTGATACTTTAAAACAATCACAGTGCTGAAGAGATAAATAGTATATTATTACGATTTATAATATTAGGGTTAAACGAGATCATTCATTTTGGATTTTTACAGCCCTCATAATTATTATAATTATATTGAGAGCATTTAAAAAAATTATTCCCAATGCAAGTAATAAAAAAACCCTTAGGCAAGATATTAATGTACATTGTGTGAGTTTTTTCTTGTTTAAATGTACCTATCAAAAAGTTGATCCTTCTTACCATAATCGTACATGAACGCATCTAAAATGGGGCTACCATTCAATTCCAATTCTTGTCTATCGATTCCCATTGCAAACAATAATTCATCATCTGATGGAATAAAACCTTGCTGAAAATTCGACAAGTCTTTTAGGCCACCATATTCATTATCCATCAAAATTATCTCTTTACTAAAATCTTCGAAATCATTTTTATAAGAATCTGGCATATTTTCCATATTACTAAAATCTTGCTCAAGCTGACCTTTGGGGATTGCAGCTACCATATTGTCAACATTCTCGGCCCATCTTTCAGAGTTAAGGTTAAACATTCCATCATTGTGTAAAAGGTTACTTGCTGCCTGTAATGTGTCGGTTAATACCCTTATATAATCGTAATCTGGATGACTTTGTAGCCTTTGCTCCAACAAAGTAAGGCTCAATATCGCAGACGCAAATAAGCAGCAGTTATTCATAGAAAACAGTTCAATTCTATCTTTTTTTTTCTCTACATAGAAGCTTATCAACCACACACACAAAAATGATGATTTAATACATGCTTTGCAAAAATAAAATAGCAATGAATCGCTTTTTAATTCGCCATAAGTTCCAGGATTTAGTTTCTTTAAAAGGACGTGTATCAAGAATGGCCGAAACAACAACATGATACCATATAATTGAGCCAAATGTACTTGCATTAATACATAGTTATTGCTGTTATCATGCGAAATTAAATCTTCTTTTAAAGTATTGCTTATGTCTAGATCAAAGGGTATATTTGATGACCATAACTTTAGTTCTATAGCCAAAGCTCGTGTATGCTTAATATTTATCACACCATCTCGATAAATGTTTTCAACTATCTTACTATTAATTTGAGAAATTTTAGAAAGTTCAAATTGACACCTTATTCTGAAGTTTTCATTTACATCATCGCTTAATTCTTGTAGCTCGGAATCATCCCAGTCATAATTATTAATCGCCAATGGCCTTCCGAGGACTATTGAATATATTCTATCAACAATAAATAAAGTTCTCCACAATCTTCTTCTATGCATCACGTATGATAGGTTCTCAAATTTTTCATTTATAATTTTTCTATGTAACCCCAATCCCTGAGCATGCCTTATGGCTGTTCCCAAATGTATCCACGCAGAACTTCTCTGACAATTTGTTTGATAATAAAAATGTCTCAATAAATTTGCTTCTACCATCCAGAGTCCACCATCATAAACAGAGCCTCTCATCATATCTAATGCACTGTCAAAATAAGCAGAATGTCGTACATCATGCTCTTTCATTAAATTAGGTGATGCTTCTGCATAAAACGAACCTATGGAAAGAACAAAGTGAAGCAAACATAGTTTTCTTGTATCGACAAGCAAGGGTTCCTTATATGCCAAATCGACAACATGATATTTAAAGTGTTTCATGTCGAAAATGTAAAATCCATCGTTAATATTTTTTTCAAAAAAGTTCACTAAGATATCACAAAATTCTCGTTTAGGCAAGGAAACTTGAACCCGACTTTTAGGTTCTGAAGGCTCATCCATAACTTGGCCTCTTTTAGGATCATCGGTAAATTTCGAAGCCCCAAGTACTGATCTGAATATTGAACGGCATTCTTGTATAAGCGATAAGGGGCTACTTTCACCAAAATACCGTAAGTTACCTGCTGAGTTAAGTAATAACCTAGTATGCTCTCCGATTTTTCTCGGTACAGTGTCTATTATATTGCTATCGTTGGTATTTGATCCATTAATGCCAGTCTTTAAATCATCATTGTCCCCATCCCCCAACGGCAACGTTAATAAAGGTTGCAATCCTCTTGGAGGCATACTTGAAATGATTAATTTACCAGAAGAAAAAGTTGGAGAACCATCATGAGCTAGATCATTCGTCTCTACGCATGCGGTTTCTTTCACTTGAGGCATTGATTCAACCTCTTTCTTTGACATCTTCTTCCCCTTTAGTGATCTTCTATCTATATCACAGAAAATACATTCTAGACCTTTCTTGGAACATAACTCACAAGGTGATTCGCCGTTACACTTGTTTCAAGTTAGTACTTGAGCCACAAAAAGTTTGTTATGGATTCAACAATACATACAACATACCTTAAATTTTCGCTTTCTGCAATTGTCACAAGCTTTTGAGACTTTTTTCCTTTGTTCTGGAGGAATCAACCTAGGTCTTTTATTCTTTGAAGCCATTCTATATGTTCAAAATCTTTAGTAATACTTTTATTGAATAAGTTTCATGAGTTTTACTCTCGCACGAAGTCTTCAAAAGTGATATTCTCCCCACATTCCAGTAAGCATTATGTGCAGAATTAAAACAAATATCCGGGCTACGGTATACGTTGAAAATGGTTGAAAATTTACGTTCTAGTTTAAGGTAGGTTAAGATAAGTTATGAAAATCAATTTAGAGGCAATATCTTTGATTTAGACCATTGCGCTTAAGTTTTCGCCTCTATGGGAGGAGAAATTTGGAATTTCGGACTTTGTTTACGATCCTTTAAGCGAAATGACAATAAACCATGTACAAATGTAGGTTTGTAACTGCTCCTTTATTTTCTTCCTATATGTGAAGTAAGCGACTACATTCCTGTGAAGATATAAACAAAGCAAGTCATGAATAGGTTTTATGTGGTTTTACGATATTTTTGCATTTATGAGAAATATATAACCTTGGAATAGTTTTTGGATCCAGGAGTAGTTCTTTAATTGATCCTTGCTTCAATTTCTTCGTAATATAAAATAACGTTGGATATATCCCAGATGAACCACAGAACTTTTCATAAAATTATTTCTTGAATGTTTAATAATGACGAATGATTTTAGATTCTTCATATTTTTCTCAATAATTACTATGCATATATCCGAATAAATAGTTCTTCTATGTTAAGGCATAATGCAGGATACATACTTATATTTTATTGTTCATATCGATAGAGTATTATAGTTAAATCTGTGCTTATTCATATTAATAGCCCTTTAAGTTAAGTCTACATATCTATCACTTTTGACTACATTTCATTACTACGTATTTTCGATCAAATTCAAGGGCTCAGAGAAGCAAAATTTCATTTTCAAAAATTACGAATATTTTAGAGTGTTCAAAATCGAATACTTGGGTATACAGGGGAATAACAAAACAGCTTTCTTGAATTTGCCTATAAAATCATGTTAGATGATTAACTATGACTTATTTATCTACGTAGTCTTTAAAAATTCAAGACTTCTATTTCTACTCAATAGTTATGGTCTTTAATTACACACACAATTAATTATATGGATACTAAATATAAATGTTTATTCAACATGGGAAATGTCTGGTTTCTTTTCAATATTTTCAGATTTATAGTGCTCAACCGAATCAATCGATTTTTGAGTTGTGTCATGAATTTCGTCCTCAAGGATTTCATCTCTTTCAATTCCTAAGTCAGCACCTCTATTTTCTGGACCTAAAACAGTAACTATGATTAAATATGCAAACACACATCCCATAAAGATCAGCATAACTTTCGCATAATCATATATGTCTTCTTCTCCTTCTCTGTAGATTGGGAACCTTTCACCTATAGTACTTTCAATAGTCGAACTAGCACTAGAGCATAGGTTACCTAGTTGGTAAGAAAGACCTGTGACAAAAGACCTAAACTGAGGTGGCGACAATTCTGAAAGGTGAATCGGAACAACTCCCCAAGCACCTTGAACTCCAGCTTGCAAAAAGAATGCACCAGCATTTATACCAGAACCCTTAATGAATGCCCATGGATATATCATAGCACCACCAAGTACACAACCAATGACAATTGCTAACCTACGTCCAATGAAGGTAGACATATGACCAAGAATCAAACCACCAGTGATTGCTCCTAAATTAGCCACAGCGTTAGTTACCGTAGAACGATCAGGCCCAAAACCATATTGCTTAGTTAATAAGGTTGGATACAAATCCTGAGAGCCATGAGACATGAAATTAAAACCAGACATCATGAAAACAGTATAAATTAAGACAAGCCAATAACTTTTGACTGCTTTCTTTCCTTCTTGGCTAAACTCAAGTGCCTTCAGTTTCTTTTTCTCATTATTTTCATAGAGTTTTTGTTTTTGTCTTAAGAAAGTATCTGTTTCAGGCAAAAAGAATCTCCAGACCATAAAGATTGCAGCAGGACCAGCGGAGAACCAGAATAATGCCCTCCAGGAATATTTCGAGTTGTCAGTAATAGCACGTTGAAAGATAACAACCAATAAATAACCGCTAAAATATGTTAGTATTTTTTGTTCTTAAAATAGAGCTTGGCAGATAAATACATACAAGGCATATCCTTGTTGGAATGCTCCTGATAGGAAACCTCTTGCTTTCTTTGGTGCATCATCCACTATAAAGACAGTTAGTAATCCGACTATGGAATTTAAAGTGTTATCAATTGATAAAATACATACATGCACAAGCAGCACAGTTACCAAACATACCACCCATGGCAATTCCAAATAATGCACGAACCCCCAAGAATGATTTATAATCCTTAACAAATCCACAAGCAATTTGAAGAACAACCAATAGGAACATATTTGTAATATAAGGCCATTTTCTCCCATATCGATCACCCCATAAGCCAAATATTACTGCACCAACTGATCTAAGCATAAGCACTAAAGTGATACCCCAAGTGATATCTTTAACTGTTTTATCAAGATCCTTTGCAATAGACGAAACATTTAAACTAACAAGGAAAAAATCAAATGCATCCCAGGTCCAACCAGCGAAGCCAACTAAAAAAAAATTCCATTGGCGAGAATTCATTTCTTTAAGTGATGAGAACGGATTAAATACATCACTCCAGGTGAACTGGTCTAATTCGTCTTGTGATAAAAACAACGACGGAATTCTTGTTCTAAAGTACTTTGAGATGGAATGTAAAGAGAAATTAGGTGGTTGAATAATATGCTTGTTATGTTCCCTAATAACCATAGATGGAACATACTCTGATTGAAAGCTCGCAGCTTCTTCATCCTCTAACCTAGCAGATCTCATTTTGTAATGGTAGATCCCGATTAAAAGATTGGTAGTATACTTGTTAATTTATGAAGTTAAAAGTTTTAGTTAAGACTGGTTTTATATATATTTTGATATGATAGCTATCAAAGTAAAAAATACATCACCCGGTATCTACCGCATTGGGTTGAGACCAGGCTCGGCTATTCGTGTCTTGCATACATAGTTGTGGGGAAGAGTTCAACAAGTTTTAGTACAATACGATATTGCTTTGTCCGGTACATAGTCTGAGTTATTAATGTACATGAACCCCGGGATTAATTTCATAGCTTAGTTTATCATACAGAGAGTGTACCTTGGAGGCAACATGTACATGGCCGTCAAAATTTCTAGGCATAATTAAAATAGTCCTAATTTGCTGATCCTTATAAGAATTAACTCAGTTCAATCAGATAATATTTCATAAAATTAAATTGTATGTATGGTGCTAATAGGGGGTCAGTGTTAGATATTCTGTCGTATACATAGCTTTTGTCATCTTCTATATGCCTTTTGGATGTAAAGAAAGCTTTTACGATATGGTTTACATTCGCTCCCAGTCTTGCATAACTTCATAGAGTTTAACCCCAAAATAAACAATAGTGGGGTAAGTCAGATTTTTTCGTCTTGCAGGTTGTCATTTCGAGCACACACAAAAAGAAAGCAATAAAAAAATTGCAGAGTTCCCGCCGATGGAGCATCACATCTTAACAGCATCAATATTCTTAGGATCTCAATACCCCAGGAAAAGTTTTGGGAAATACGCCGTAAACTTCCGATAAAGGTGTGTGTATAGAATTTTATCCCTTTATATTAGATACGCCGTAAACTTCCGATGAATACCCACGCTTCAATGTGAGATTTCGTTTGACAGCTATCAGTATCCGGAGTTCTTCTTGGCATTGCTATTTATCCCGACCCGATATACTCCTAAACTTAGATTTTTCCGATCGTCTTTGAATAATTTGCGTAAGATTTTGATGAATGAAAGTTTAAATATATAACTCGAATTGTAGAAAATACGCACTGTAGATCATTTATTGTTCAGTGCTATCATGGCTTTAACAAGTCCTCTTGCATAGAGTGGAAAATTCCCCACTTCCATCTCAACAATCAGATAGAATTGATAATTACACGGCAAGCATCAGGTTTCTCTAAAGAGAAAGCCTATCATGTAACAAATTACAAGCAAATGCTCTTTAGGGAAGAAAAACATAGATAGAAAAAAATGAAGAATTATAAAAAGTAGCTGTTGAAGAGAACATTTGTCTGAGTCGGTCGAACTTCCATTTAAAAAAAAAAAAAAACAAAGATT